ATTTTCTGACATTTGGATGGAATTTGAAAATATTTGTGAACCCCTCCGGTTGAGATAACCAATCAATGCGGCCATCATCGGGGTGTTGTAGTGTCATTTCTCTTTATGGATTGAACCTTGTCAACTCTGTCGGGCTGTCGACAGAGGATCGGATTTTGTAGGCTTTGAGCCTTTATTAGTGAATTCATATTGTTGTAGGCCTTGATGGCCTAATATGAATGTTTTAAAGCAAATATACCGGTCGCCACGACTTTATATTTGCTTAATGGTTCGAACCCTATCGACTTCTATTGACCCGTATAGAAGAATCGGTTTCGAACCTGAATTCACTTGTCAACCCGCGCAGCATCCCTAGACGTCACGTGTGTACCAATAACACGCTCGCCGGGGCCCATGAGGGTTTTATAATTGTTTTTACCCCTTTTAGTGTACCTATGTGTATACAATTTATAGTGCACGTGTAGGGGTACTTTGTAATAATTGTAGACGCCTTCTGTCTGCTTGTATACATAAGATAAGGGGTGTAGAAGTTTCATCATATGAAAGTAAATCAACATAAGATAATTGATATTTGACAAATAATTAATTTTTTTTAATTGTTGCGGTATTATATATTTAAAATTTTTTTGTACTTGCATTATTTTAATTGCTGTGCTATTTTATATTCTTTTTTGTTGTAATTCATGTTGTTAATATTTTTTAAATTTTTGTGCAGATGGCTTCAGGTGATGATCGTTAAAGAAGATTAATGAAGAATATATTTGGTAGGCGCAACAAGAAGATTACTGTTAGCTTATCCAGTAGGTCTGTACCTATTGAGGGCACCTCTTCATCTCAGCCTACTACTCAGAGTCAGCCTAGCCCGCCTTTACCTGCTCCTCCAGCCATTAGCCCACAGTTCTACTCACCAGACCCACACTTACCTTCACCGGACCTTACGCAGACTACTCCTTTCTACCCCTACTTCCCACCACCACTTTCTCATGGTGTCCATCCTATATATCCGCCATATCCATATCCGCCATATGTCTCACCACCAGCTCAGCCCTCTACAGAACCCCTCAGCCCGCTACAGCACCACCTCAACCTGCTACAACACCATCTCAGCCCACTACAGCAAAGCAGGCAACAGAGGGTCACATGTTGATTGAACCTAACGGTGACACGCAAGTACTAATTTTATTTCAGTCATGCAAATAAAATTGAATTAATTTTTCTGACAAGTAATATATTTCTTTCAGGTTTCATCCGTCAAAGGAGCCAGCGCAAAAAATACGAGACATAATACGGAGCAGATACGATACTCCTTATATTTCATGGAAGAAAGTCCCGAAAGAAGTACGGAATATGTGGTTTAGTGAGTTTGAGGTTTGTTATTATATAAATTTTTTTGTATTATAAGTAATTTACATAAGCTAACAAAATTATTTATTTTTTATTGTATGTGTTTAAATGCAGAAAGATTTTTTTTGCTGCCACAACATAATGATAAAATCAGAAAGAATTTTGAGAAGCGTGGCTCTACTCGTAAGAAGAATCGGATGATAGTGAACTTCATGAAATAAGACCAGCTGAGATTCTTTGCCTATTATATTGCACATCATGTAGCACCCAGAGCCCAAAAATAATACATTCCAAAAAGTTGAAAAGAATTAAGAATGAAATAAGACAACTGCCAAAGCTTCCAAAATCATTACCATAGGAAACATAAAGATACTACATAGCAGAAGTGCAGTTGATGGCTACATTCTCTACACTTCTGTCATCATCATCATTGCCCTAACAATTTTTTATAGTACAAGATACAATATCACATTACAAAATGTGATATTACACCTTCCTCGGGTCACTAGTGAACTCTTGATAATTGCAAATCATCGGGTTATAACCAAGAATAAAATATTATAGGCTGCAAACAATCATGCCTTGGCATAAATGCCCAAAAATCTTGAAATCATACAGCTACAAAGATGGTGACGCAGCTCATCATTGGTGGGTTTTCTTCCTCTATCATAACTATCTCATAAAAAGACATACTAATTCTTCGTTTGAGAAAGCTTTCTTATGGTTTTCTGAAGCAACTTTCGAGTACAAAAATTTTGTTACGTTTATAGAACTAGTCTTGGTATCTCTCATGTAAATAAGCCCAGTTAGCAACGTTCAATGAGACTAAAAATATGAAATTTACCTGCAGCTCACTCATTTAGATTTAGCCTCATAATGCAATTTCCTTATTCCTTCTCATCAAGAAAGATTACAACCTACATGCATAAAAATTATAATGAAGACAAAGGCCATCATGCTTACATACGTGATAGAGTATTATCTATTTTAGAAGAGTAGCAGCTCTTATGAAGAGAGACAATTCGACTATTATCCATTTTACAAGAATAGTAGCTCTAAACCTCACAAATCTTAACAAATAGGTAAATAATATTTCTTTTTCGCTTAATTCCTCCAACCAAATCATGGCCAAAAGAAAGGCAATCCCAAAAGGAGATGAGAACAAGAAGAAAAAAACAAGAATAAGAAATAAAATACGATTGTGGAATCCATGAAATAAGAAAAGTGGAGAAGCTTTACATATTATATTGTAAATTATGCAGTACCCCATAACCCAAAAGGACTACATTTCTAAAAGGAAAGAAGAATTAGGGACCAATACACGAACAACAAGAGGGCTCAGATGATTGTGGAAGTCACAAAATAAGACAAGTGAAGAAGCATTCTACTAATAGATATGCACGAATTCCCTTGGTAAATCTAAGGAGGGTAATTTTGAAACCTATTGAGTTAAGAGTCACTGTGTCATGAAAATCAAAGGCTCCTAATGAAAAAAAAAAGGAAAAATATTTGCTTATCTTGAGCTAAAATGCTTTTGTATGTTTTGCATGGATCATCATTCGCTAATTAACCACATTGTATGATGAATTCTTCAAAATAAAATGAAATAAAAAGACAAAAGAATGAATTGCATAGGAAAATATTTATTTGGGGATTATGAATCCATATTTTGTACTTGAATTAGTTGCAACTAAAAAAGATGGTAGTTCGAGAATATATGTAAATAGTCGAGTAATTGATAAAATCACCATCAAGTTTGAGAATATAATATTAGCATGATTTTTGGGGCTGTTATTTTCTTGAAGATATGTTCTCTAATAAGTAATACCAAATTGACAAAGGACCATCTTATTCAACTAGCTACTTTAATAGCTTGGATTCATGAAACTAAAACCTTATAGCTAAAGTTCCTACACAAATCTAGAAGTGGTAGCAACACCTATTGCTCTATGATTCATCATGATAACATGCGGGTTCATAGACCAGCAGAAAACATGATAACTACTATACTGCCTTCTATACAATCCTCTATAAGGGTCACTTTACATCTCAATACCCTCATAATTCTTTGGCAATTGAGCATGTAGTGCACGAGGATAATATATGTGATGGTTCATCTAAGGATGTGGAAGATAATAACCCATGTTCAAGAGATGAGTAGATAAATTATGGTAAATATGATGTCCATTCATCTGTTGCAAGATGAATTCCACTAGATCTCACATGGATGAAGATTGAAAGAAAAGTCGAATATTCCATACAAATGCTTCTTGCAAATAGCAGCAGGTCCAAGTTAGTCATAATTGGTGGAAGTACTGTGAAGAGAGTATGAAAAGCCATATTAATTAAATGCAATCTCAAAGAAGAGCCACCTCCAAGTCCTTTCAATGTTGTATGGGTTAACAAGATATCTCTAACTATCATTGAAACATGTCGTGAACCGAATCAGTTAGGCAGTTATTCTAAGGATGATGTTAGTATTCTATTTGGTCAACCTTTATTTATCAGATATAGCCAACATTTACGTGATGCTTATTTTAAATATTAGACAAAAAACCCATTGAACAAATTTATGTTGCTCCAACTATTGACTTGATAATTCTATTGAATAATCTTATTTTAAATTTGAATTGAGATGATATGGTTTAATTTAGATTAGATGACAAAATAAATTTTCATTTTAAATTATAAACCCTATTTCAATAAAAAGGGTTAGGTTGATGTTATTTCATTATCTTGAATTGAAACAAATCAAATATTCCATTGACCGCCTATCTCCTTTTTCTCTCGTCTCCATAGCTCATTGATTTCTCTCATCATTTTTTAGGAAATATTGATTATTCATTTCTCTCTCTTTCCAGTCACGAGAGGACTGCAGCCCAAAGTGACGGTCCACACTCATAAAATATCCAACTCACAATAGAGTAAAACATCAAGAAGCTCGTCTAAGTTTCTACAATCAATAGGTGCCACTTTTCTACTATTCTCAATTCGTTTACATGAAATGAGAAAAATCAAATATATTTCAAGAGAGAGAAGAATAAAAAGATTTACAACTATAGAGTATCATCCATAAATGATCTGTACTATGGATGGAAATAGGGCACCAATTTCATTGGAAGTGGGGTCACAATAGAAGCAACAAAGGTTAATAAAACAGAGCATTGAGATCAGAGGAGGTGACATATGTCGGGGCATCATAACAAGGAACACCAATGATGTTGAATTACCAATACTGAGGTCTAGGAGCAGGAAAAAGGACAATGTCCTGGTGAAGTTGAGGCAGGAACACACCAATTACTGAAGCCCATAAGTGTGAGGAGAGAAATCTAAAATAAGATGCAAACAAAAAAGTAACTGAGAAAGTGAACGTGAGAGTGAGAAGCGACTGAGTGTGCTCGATAATGAGCCACTGGCACAACTACCTCAACTTAAGAGGCCTAACAAGACTGTCCCACTAGGTTCCTTGGTAACTAAAATTGGGTTGGCCCTATCCATGTAAGATAACTGAGTTAATAAACCACTGACAACCAAAAATAACACTAAAAAGTTATAGAGGTAAATACTAACTTCGACAAATGATGAAAAGGGTACTTAAAAATTGTTCTTATATCCCAAATTTGATCATGATCCACGTCTGAGGCTTATTTCCCTATCTATAGATGATAAATGAAAACTCCAGCTAGAGAATCTGTAAGAATATCATTGCAGAACTTACAAGAGAAGCATGACCCAAAAATAGGGGTTACAATCAATAAGAATAAAATTTTAATATGAGAACATCCTACCTCGCAACATAGATGTCAATTTATACTTTGTAGTGATAGATTCAAGCTCACGAGCCGTGACTGTGTAGCAATCTACAAACTTAACCTGTTCATGAAATCCACAATCTTTTTTTTTTTTCTTTTTTAAGTTTGGGATTAAAATTGACAAACTAATAAGCAAAAACCTTTTGAACCTTTCTAAGCATGACCAATGCTATCAAAGAGCTATGCACATATCAAAGCACAAGCTAGTTCAATACTAAAGTGAAGTGAATGACAGGTTCAAGATCAGTACTCAAAAAAGAAAATAACTAAAGCTTCTCATGAAAAATTTACAATTTAAAGATCACCATCACATAATGACAAATGAAAATATAGGGGCCAACAGAAGTCTAAATAATATAATTCAAAAATTTTTTTGGGGAAACAAATATCTAACTTAACGCTATATGACTTTTAAAAATCCAGGTAGAAATGAGAATATGGGGTGCATCCTTCAATAAATTCTTTGCCACAAAGCTATCTTACATATACGTTCATGCATGGATGCATGCACACACAAAGGTGAAGCAAGAACTTTTTTGTTCTTCCTGAACAAGATCAATATAATCAAAGAGTTGGCATTTAAAAATGAAACAAAGATAAATGCTTAATAAAGTGCAACTATGTAATTTAAACTATTTTTCAAGAATCGCATCTATGGTAAAATCACCAGACAAGAAAGCAAAAACCTAAAATTGTCATGAGGAATTTAGTTTTAGTTCTAACAATTACAGCCCATCTGGGAAATTTCAGCTATTTGTTAGATTAATATACTCAAAAAGCTATGATCGTTGAAAAATGAAACAGACAAATGCTTTAATAAAGTAATGTGCAATAATGTAATTTAAATTATTCTTTCAAGAATATACAAGAAAGTAAAAACAAAAATTGTAATGAGGATTTTTCTTTAAGTTTAACACTTGGACTCATTTGGGATAGCTTCAGCTGTTTGTAAAAATACTTGTCAAACTATTGCGGGAAAAATATAATTTTTGAAAGATGTTATGGGTATTATCAAAATTTTTCTCCAAAAAAAAAAGTTGAACAATAAATTTTTTGCAGCTACCACACTTCGGCAGATATGGCTGTGAAAAGGTTCTCACCACATTAATTCTTGGAAACAAAAAAATATAATAACTTTTTCATTTATATATTTTCTTATATGATTAGAGCTACACTCCATATAGACTTTATGGTGAAGAGACATCCACTCATTTAGCAGATCTAATATCTTCTTCATCCTCTACAGCTACCTCTGCCACAGAGCATCGAGATCTTTGAGGCTAAGCCACTCGAAAGATGTGCTCTACTCTATTTGCTCTACTCTATTAGCTTCATGCTCTCTTCTATCTACTCTTCACTTTCATGTCCATATTCTTGCCTCGATAATGTAATCCACAAATTCGCAATTGAGAAGCTTATTATTTCAATTCGCATTTGAGGAGCTTATTATTTCAATTGCTGATAAGCTATGAGAAAGTAAGAGGGTATTATTTGGATTATAAAAGCACGAAGGTAATTTTTCTCATATTTTCTTATAATTTGCATTAAAAAAAATACTTTTTCAAGAAGTAGAATAAAAATCAAGACTCATAAAACAGCTTTTGCAAAGCTCCAACAAAAACTAGAAAAGCATAAGGCATGCTAAATAAACCCTAAAAGGAAAATTCAACTTCAGAATATATCTCAAGTATAAGTACTTGTAAACAACCATTAAAAAAGCGGGCGAGGAGTCCGCATTGAGTCGTGCCTCAAGTCGAGGCAGAAGTCGTGCGTATCGGGGCTTACGCCTCGAACCATCCAGCGAAGCCTATGATTTTTTCGCACGAGGCGTACGCATTAGAGCGTAATGCCTCGAGGCAGTATGAGGCACCTCCTCGAAATTTTTTCTTCGGTATATATGTAAATACAACGCAGCCGATTCGTGTTCATGTATTCGCGTATAGGATTAGGGCTTCCTGTGAGAATTGAAATGCGAACTAGAGGCAAAGCCATGAGAGAAAGAGACGAAGCCGTAAGGGAAGGAGACGAAGCCGTGAATGTAGGAGACGAAGTCGGAAGGAGACGACGTAGGGAAATAAACGAAGCCGAAGTTGTGAGTACAGGAAACGTTCAGGCATCGATTAGGTCGGAAGAGCAGGTACGCGGTGTTGTGGCCTTGACTTTGACGTGCAGTAACGAAAGCTTGAATAACTACTGATTCGACTTTCTTTCATTCGTCCGCTCAGTACATGTTCGGTACCGAGCAGGTACAAGCTCTGTACCGCTCAGTACATGCTCGGTACTGCTAGGTACATGCTCGGTACCGAGCCAGTACAGCTCGGTACTTAGCTATACATGCTCGGTACACGCTCGGTACCGAGCGGTACCGCTCGGTACGCTCGTTATTGAGCATATACAACAAGCAGAATTTCAAAATTACTCTTATAATACAATTTTGTTCCGGGGGCGCTGCCCCCTTGGACCCCCAGCAACTGGTATATTTTTGTATTCTATGTTGTTATATTATTGATAGTACAAATAATTGTTAAAATATGTCCTATTGTTAGCATGACTAGTGGCACAAAAAGGAAAGATCCTGCATGGAAATATGAAACTCAAGTTGAAGTGTCTGGTGAAGGTGCAAAGAAGGGATATGTTTACATAAAATGTAATTTCTGTGAGAAACGCATAACTAGTGGCGTCAAGAGATTGAAGGATCATCTAGCCTGCACTCATGTCAATCTGGGACCATTTGCAAAAGTTCCTGATGAGGTGAAAAAGGAATGTACAAATTATTTTAAAAAGTTTGCCACCACAAAGGAGGTCACACAAAGAAATATTGAAGAGATGATAGGAAACTCTTCTTACTATGGATCACAGCATGAAGGTTCCAGTACTGGAAGCCATCTAGTTTCTTCTGACTGAGGCAGTCAGGGGCCCATAGATAGATTTATGCTAAATATTCATAACGAGGAAAACATAAATACTTAGGATATTCAGCCTCCTACAACTACAAAAGAACTTAGGAACAGAGTTTGTTTGGATATCGCCAGATTCATCTATGAAAATGGGATTCCATTTAATATTGTCAGGAGTCTGTCGTGGATCAATATGTTACGATCTGTTGGAAGCTATGGAAGAGCAATACAACTTCCAAGCATGTATGAGCTGAGGACTTGGATGCTGAATGAGGAGGTTAAGACAACTTCAAAAATGGTGAATGATGTTAAGAAGACTTAGATTGAGACATGAGTGACAATAATATCAAATGGTTGGTCAGATATTCGACATAAAAGTATTATTAATTTCTTGGTCAACAATCTATATGGAACAGATTTTCTCAAATCAGTAGATGCTTCAAGCTTTGTAAAGGATGCACAATTATTATTTGAAATGTTGGATGAAGTTGTGGAGGAAGTGGGAGATACCTTAGTAGTACAGGTTGTTACTGATAATGCAAGTGCATACAAAGCTGCAGCAAGAATGTTAATGGAGAAGAGGCCTCAACTTTACTGGACTCCTTGTGTTGCACATTGTATTGACTTGATGCTTGAGAGGTTGAAACAATTGCCTCAACATAAATCTTGTATTCCAGTAATATTATCTTAAAACAAATCTTCAAATTCATAGTTGACATAATATTTTGTTATTTTTTGTCATTATTTATAATTTTAAATTAATTTATTTTAAATGTTTTGAGGCTTACGCCTCGCCTCGCTTAGAAAAAAAGCATCGATTCCCGATTTTGCCTTTTAAAACCTTGCTTGTAAAGAGTATAAAAGGACAATCATCATTTTAATTGATAATAGGTAAAATTATAAACTTCTAAGATAAATTGCATTCTAGGATCTGAAACTTTTCTAAATAGATTTTTAAAAAATAACAAAAATTTATGTTTAAATAACTTATATAGTGTTAAGCTTCTTGATCTACATAAAAAAGGAGAAGAAATCTTTTGAATAGGCGTGGACTCCTTAAAGAAGAAGAGGGGGTAGAAAAAGAAAAAAAGATAAATATTATTTCCGAATTAAAATTCCAACTCTAGGGTCTATTTATAGTGTTTACATCAACCGATTTGGATCTAATAAAGAGTTAGACCATCTCCTTTAATACAATTAATAATAAATAACTAAAATGGGTTTGAGGGTTGGTTTAATGCTGAAATAAAATAACCACGGGCTATTCCAATTGGCTTGTTGCTGGCAATGTTCTTTTACTTGTTGGGTCTTATTATCCTTCTATGATAAACTTGAAATATTGTATCCACATTTCTGAATTATTCACTCATTCTTGATAATGTTACTGCACTATGTTTGAGCTCAAGATAATGTTTTGCTACTTAACACTCACATCAGCATGGAAAATAACCTTGTGCTCAAGGTTGAGAGATAAAAAATAAGCCGAAATAGCTCAAAATTTTTCCCAACTGCCATCATTCAGAAGAGAGAGTTTCTATTGTAACATAACTTGACGATGAGGTTGGCCACGAAGTTGTATGGTACACAAAGCTAATCTAATGTTGAGCCTAGGATACGCATTTGAAAAATGATTTGAATGAACTTGAATTATATATCACTGTATCATATACACGCAAATAATTCTAACTTATTTCTATGAAAAAATTATGAGAAAAGCTAAATATAATCACATTTTTACATGTTAGTTAATTTGGATTTATTTCAAGTTGAATTGAATACTATATTGAGTGAAAATAATATCATAACATTCATGAATTAAAATCTGAGACAATTTGAACAGATTTTGAGTTGTCAAATTTGATTCATTTCAAGTCAAGCAACTTGATTTGAAAAGCAATTCAAGTTCAAGTTCTTTCAAGTAAAACTGAGCCAAAAACTATGAGTTTGAACCAAGCCTAACTTGCTTTAACTCGACTTAATGATACCCTTAGCTCCAGGCTAATCAAATGTTAACTATCATCCGTCTTCATCATCATCCATTCTCCCCACTCCCGCACTAGATTGTTAACCCCATAAATCTTTTCTTTATCTCCTCAACTTATTATGTTCCACCATAAAGATATAGAACTCTTGCGCCAACCTTTGATCCAACTTATTTTTGAATGTGCCCTTTCTTTCACCTACTAGTCATGGACTTGCCCATTCATGTCATCGACCCCTATCAAATTGTAATCATGAAAAATTAATTCATCCTTTGTTATTCAACTATTATAACTTATCTTTATAATTTTGGAAAGGCAATTGCCTCAGCTCCTAGTGCCTCAGGTCAAGGTGCTCATGTAAGCAATAAATTAGAAATGACACAAGTTTGACAGGTGGGAGAAGTAAAATAGCTCTGCCTTGCCTTACTTGAGAGTGAACCCAGTTTAACAACATTAATTTTATTAGTTGGTATAAAAATCTCAATTGAAATTAATGGATCACTATGCATGGTAGGATTTGATCTCTAATAAGGGAATTGAAGCCATGAGACAAAACTGAGCCGCATGTATGAGCACAAATCCATCAGGTAGGACCGCATGAAAGACCCACTCACCATTTGAGAGCGCCCAGTCACCCTTTTGAATTTTTGTTATAGGGATAAGGAGTTCAGAGCATACAGAAAACATTACTTAAGATTGTAAAGTACGACTCATTATTAAACCTATTATTATTACTCAATACATTTGCTTTCATCATTCTAAACATCATTATTTCTTCCTTATCGGAATGTAATTGTGCATCGTATATAGTACTCGAACCCCTAGCTTAAAGATTTAAATGACTTGTAAAAAGCAATAAATCCTCCCCCAACTCCCAGCCGCCTCCCACATACATTTCTTTTTAAGTCATAACCTTAATCAGCTAATCGTTTGATGTCTGGGAAGAATAAAAAACTACTAAAATTGTCACAAGAAATACTCCCTCAATTCCCACTTCAACTCCCACTCCATGCTAGGTGAATGCCGTACAAATATACAAGCAACACCTCATTCACGGCCCAAAAAGTGTTGGATGCACTAAAAAACATTTTCACCATGCTTCCAAATCAAATAAGTTGGGAATTTCGCAATTTCAATTGTCACAGGAGCTGAGATGAAATTGTGCCACTGCAGCTTTTCAATTTTTGATAGAAATGATGAAAATTACATAAATCAGACATGCTTTATTCGTGTATAAGATCAACATTTTATTGATATTTAAGCAGAAAAGAAAAATACTTGGCATGGAGAGCAACTTATTGGGCAATATTACTAGAATAACTGCAAGCATTAAAACTCATACAAGAGAAATATTTAACAAAAAAGTTTTTAAAGCTGCATAATATGAGAAACTCACAACGAATGGCCATGTCGGGACATTCTCAGCTGAAATTGTCTCAATAGAAGGCTCTTCAAACGCACACTGTTTTGCAAGTGGGAGCATCACGGACACGGATTATCAAGAGAAATTGATCAGCAATTTGAAGAAAATAATAAATTTGTGATTCCCATATTCAAATACTCCTTATTTATCATCTTCACATAATTTTAAGTTTATATTCTCATAGCTTCTTCAGCATAAGCGCATTTGCTAGTGAAGCAAGTCTAAAAACGCCACCTGATAGCCATGATGCTACTGTTTGCTTCAAGATTCAGCTTGGATTACAATATCATTCCATTCAATTTATTTTTCCCCATACTGTTGTATGTTTGCTTCTGCAATCTACAGTAACAATGATAATAGAATAAACTCGCTCATCTCTTTCCATAACTTCCAAATATAATGCAAATAAAATTGTGGCTTCTTAAATAAGTGAGTCACTGGTTTACGCACTATCAATTCCATAGACATCACGCCAAAAATTTATGCTGTCACAGTATCTTTCACTGTGAGTAACAGGAGCCATATACAGCTACAAGAAAAGAAGAGTATTCAGCATAAAAATCATCTACCATAATTGCCATTTAATAGGATAAAAAAAAATTCTTTGAATGTGAGTAGTTGGCAGATTACAAGTACAAATTTACCTACATCAGAATGCACAAATACAAAGAAAGAAATAAATATTCAGTAGCAAAACATTACTGTTGCACGTGAAGGAAGGATCAACCCTCCGTGTTTGAACCAATTATCCCTTGCAAAAATCACACTGCTCAGCATGCTCTAAATATGCAAAAACATAGCATTAGAGTTTTAGGCATTTATAGGGACAAGAATTCCTAAGTATTGAATTGATCATCTCAGTTAAATGACAGCCCACTATATTCTTATTAGGAGAATTGAAGTGCACCTCATACAGAAGCATATATCTCATCCATTCAGAAATTATGACGTCTACCTCCTCCTGGATGCTAACTTTCTGCAAAAAGATACTTAATGAGATCTAAACATTGTTTACAAGTGTCAAATTTGCCTCACAAACAAAGTACGTCTAGAAATAACTAAGAGCAAGGATGAAAATTTCAGAGATGAAAATCACCAAATGAAGGAGGATAAAAAGGTAACTTCAATTCCAATATATTAAAAAATAGATGAAAGAAATTTAACATGAACGCTCAAAAAGAAAAGTTGATACAATTAACGAAGAAAATAAAAAAAGTGAAATATATAAATTAACGAAGACATATTTTCTTTTTTCATGTTACATAAAGTTGAATACTAGCTGATGCAATCAAAAATTTGGGTCCCTCTCCCAAATTATTGATAATAAAAATAATATCTTCCTATATCCAAGAAATACTAAAAATGCTAAAGAAATTCACCAAATTCTAAAAAGACACGAAATAAGAAACAAAGGAACTTTTATAATATTAGAGAAAACTCTTAAATTTCATGACACTTACAAACAACGCTTACAAACTTTGACACAAACATGACATAAACATCAATCCTAAAACTGCATTTTCTTGAGAAGAAGGATACAATGGAGTGGATACTTGCGGAGAGACGAAAGAAATTAGAAGCCAAGACGAAGGGCGGAGAAGGACTCTCAAGTCTTCCCAAGAGATAGAAGAAGAAGTGGAACAAAGCTCTCAAGCTTTTTCCAAAGAACCTGCACGTTTTCTTACTCCAAAAATAACTTTTTTCACCACCTAAAACAACCACACACATCTTCTATATATAGGCATAAAAGAGGAATACAAACAGCCCCAAAAACCACTTCAAATCCACACATAAATGGGGAAATGAAAGGCCAACAGTCCTTTTACTGAAATCCCAAACGGCACAACAAAAAACAGAGGAGGCCACAGTTCCAACAGGTAAGTCACGGATCCCAGCAACCAAGCACAGGGACCAAACAGCCTCAATTAAAATTTCTTCCTCTCACTCGGCGAGGCGAGGCCTGAAGAACGGGGACTTCCATGTACGTATGAGCACCGTGGTATGCGCCAATAAGACCACCAAAAGCCTTTGTGGTAATTTCGGTAAAAGGGGGACCACGAGACAGAGAAACCGAAGCAACCCATGGGAGGAAAACCAGCAGAAAACCGCAGCAGCCCAAGAGGAAACAAAAAGAGGAAAATGCAAGATAAATTGTAGAGAAATGAGAAGAAAAAGGGGGAGGGCGGAAGGAGAAAGCTAAGTTTAAGAAATAATGAGCTAATTTTTAGTTCAATAAATGAACTAAAAATCAGCTCATAATGAGTTAAACTTTCACTTGACATTAATGAGCTAGAGAAGTCAAAAATCAAATATTAGGATTTGATTTGACCCCCCCTTTGCCTACATCAGACTCCCCTTCTTGCGGACTCAGCTCCCGATGAATCAGTTCTTGGTTTCTTTCGAGGAGGTGAAGATGGCGCATCCAATTCATTAATCAAATCTTCATACTTTTGCATGATCTCATCTCGTTTTTGCAGAAACTGATCTTGTAAACGTTGCTTCTTCTTCATATATCTTTCAGTACACAAATGCATCCATGATTGAAGTTTGTACAGTTCATACTGTAGTGGATCTGTTGATTATGACGGAATCCATCTGTCCATCGAAAGAGGATCTTCAAGTTTTTCTGGATTGCTTTCTTCCACTGGATTACTATTTTGTCTTTTTCCATTTTTTTAGACGACTCAAAAAAAAGAGAGACTCAAAGAAAGACTCAACCTAAAAAACTTAGACTCACAAAAAGGACTCACGACAAGATTTGACTTTGACAAAACAAAACTTGACAACCAAAAATAAGACTTGACAACTAAATCCTAGGATTTCTCAACTTGCTCTGATACCAAATTTGATGCAATCAAAAATTTGGGGAGGGACCCAAATTTTTTAATAATAAAAAAAAGACCTTTCTAAGAAATAGAAAATGACATGAACTCATAAAAACTAGACAAATTAAAAAAAAAAAACGCAACTTTAATATTATAAAAGGACTTACAAACAAAAACTCTTACAAACGACCCTTACAACTTGGACGCTTACAAATTTTGACAGAAACATGACATAAACATCAATCCTAAAACTGCATTTTCTTGAGAAGAAGGATACAATGGAGTGGATACTTGCGGATAGACGAAAGAGATTAGAAGCCAAGACGAAGGATGGAGAAGAACTCGCAAGTCTTCCCAAGAGATAGAAGAAGATGTGGAACAAAGCTCTCAAGCTTTTTCCAAAGAACCCGCAAGTTTTCTTACTCCAAAAATAACTTTTTTCACCACCTAAAACAACCACAAACATCTTCTATATATAGGCATAAAAGAGGAATACAAACAGCACCAAAAACCACTTCAAATCCACACATAAATGGGGAAATGAAAGGCCACCAATCCTTTTACTGAAATCCCAAACGACACAACGAAAAATAGAGGAGGCGGCCACGGTTCCAGCAGGTAAGTCACGGATCTCAGCTGCCAAGCACAGGGACCAAACAGCCTCACTTAATTTCGGTAAAAGGGGGACCACGGCACAGAGAAACCGAAGCAACCCATGGGAGGAAAACCAGCAGATAACCGCAGCAGCCCAAGAGGCAACAGGAAGAGGAAAAGGCAAGATAAATTGTAGATAAATGAGAAGAGAAAGGGGGGGGGGGAGGAGAAAAGCCAAGTTTAAGAAATAATGAGCTAATTTTTAGTTCAGTAAATGAACTAAAAATCAGCTCATAATGAGCTAAACTTCCACTTGAAATTAATGAGCTAGAGAAGTCAAAATTGTTGACATAGAAAGGATGTAGTCAATCAAAATCTCATGAATTTATCATCTTAGATTTCCTGATGAACCCCCTACAAAAGTAAAATGATTTCATATGCTAAAACTTCCACGAAAAATAATATGGATCAATGAGTTGCCTCTACTCAGATATCACAAACATGCTTGAGGTTGCGATACACCAAAGGAGGAATCCTTTCATAATATTTCAAAAATTCTATTTGATTGTAAAGGCTTCAAGGCATAAAATATTGCCAATCATGGTTCAAATGTACTAGGCATGACTGACAAGATACAACAAATGGATTATGCATGCTGAAGTGACTTAAAGGCACATAGTATTAAGTCACTTCAGCATGCCAATAGTAGTTATGAACTTATGATATACTAAAAATTGATTGATGATAGCTTTACATGCAAGGAAAAATTAATTTAGTCATCCAAGAGTAACATCCAACTTACCTTGAAAGGGGAAAGTCTTAAGCATATTTTTTTAAAAGGAATTCATATTGTGAAGTCGCTCTTCATAATGAAGTTAATAGTCCATATGGAACATTTAAGTCGATAGGTATCCCTTAAGGATCAATCCCTTGCTATGTGAGGCAATAAAAAATAAGTGGTTGAAGAATTTGCTTTGTATCTACAAATTGCCCTAAAAGAAAAGCTGTAAGTTATGCTCAAGGTTCGGACTTGATTTTAGCTCATTTAAAAGAGGTACCTTCAAAATAGTGTGGGATGGAGATTTGCTTAGTGAATGTCAAATTCACCCAAGCAAGCAATATTAAGCATTGGTAGATCAATCCCAGCTCATTTGGTTGGACTTACAAGCTTGATACTCAGCCACCCATCCGATTGCTTAAGCGGACATGTTAACTCAGAGCTAGTCCAATTGAGAGAACTTGATGACCACATGTAGGAGCAATTCAAATTTGATTTAAAATGCTAAAAGGAAGGCCCATTTGATTTGACAGTAGGGCAAACAAAATAAACCTTCCAAAAATTGATTTGATTGAATATATCCTCAAATAACTAATTTGAGGTAAATAGACTAGGCACTAGGCTTTGGAAGCATGAAAGCTTGGTTGATTAGGCTTACTAATGTCGAAACTTGGCTAATCATTGGGGGGACTAATTAGCTATGAGCTAGCCCATTTTAGTTTATGTCCATGTATTCACATGTAAAGTTTGCCTTATTGAAAAGGATCTATGTTGGTTCAAATTGGCCTCTAGTAGACGATGGCTTTTGTCAGGTTAATATGTTTTGAAGATTTCTATACCACATTAATTTATACAAGTCTAATCTACAATGTTGGGTCATATAATTTTGGAAGATTGACGAGGCTCAAGGTTATATTGATTTAGAGAAAGCATATCATAAGTTCCAAGAGAAATGATATGGAGAGTTCTACATAAGAAAGGGGTTAATAATGCTTATATTCAAATCATTAGAGATATGTATATAGGAGTTGATACTAATGTTCAAACACAAGGTGGTTTAACTAAGTATTTTCCTATTTCAGTTGGATTACATCAAGGATCGGGCCGATCAGCTTTAAGCCCATATCTTTTTGTTTTAGTCACGGATGTTCTGACTGGACATTTGCAAGAGGTTGCACCCTAGTTTATGCTTTTTGTTGATAATTTTCTTCTTGTTGATAAAACTAGAGAGGGAGTTGAAGGTAAACTTGAATTATAGAGATCAACCTTAGAGTCTAAAGGCGTTCGTTTGAGTAGATCTAAAACTGAATATATGTAACATAATTTTAGTAGTAATAGACCTAGTAAGGGGATTTTGACTTTGGGAGAGCAAGTCATTAATATGAGCAAATGTTTTAGATATTTGATAGGAAGTACGTATCTCCAATCAAACTTCAAAAAATAACTAGCTTTCTCTACCAAAATCCTCACAAACCACAAAAACAGTAAATAATTTGTATTACTTGATGAAAGGGAAACGAAAAATAGCAAGATACAATTGATCCTCTATTCGAGAGGAGGATCGATCTCTCCCAAATCTCTAGACGCCACTAGAACCCAAAGAAAAACCTAAATCTAGGAGATATCAACTTTTAGCCAAATTCAAGATGCCCTAACCCTAGGAAAACCAACTTTTTAATGCATACAAATCAAAAGAAAATCCCGAAATAGTCCCTACATTCAAATTTGCCTCTCAAAACCCTCAAATATCCTTCCAAAATGGCTCCACTTAGGCGATCA